TAGTTCCGTTTCGTTTGGTAGGGTAGTTAGTTTTAGTTTTTGTTAGTACGCGTCCCTAACGTAGTGGTAAGGACCGACTTTAGTCCTCCTTCGTATCTCTCTCTCTCTCTCTCTCTCTCTCTCTCTCTCTCTCTCTCTTAATACCATTGTTTCAAAAAGCGTTAGGCGGCACCTAGGCGGTCGGGGGGTACAGGCCGCCTAGCGCCTAGGCGGGCGCTCAGAACCTAAGCGGCCCAGTAAAAGTTTTTTTTTTTAGGTTTTTCTCTCTCTAAAATAGCCTCTAATGGGTTTTAGGTTAATTTGAAACCTAAAACCCACCATTTTGCACCTTTAGTATTAAAAAAAATGACCCAAAATGACCAAAAAATGGCCTCAACAAGCGGCATTTCCGCCCCTGGGCGGAAGCGCAGGCCCTGGGCGGCCCGCCTAGGCAGCCACCTAAGCGGGTTCTCGGGCGCATAGGCAGGCGCCCGAGGATACCCGCCTAGGCCTGGGTGATGAGCTCAGGCCTTCTGAACCGCCTAGGCGGCTGCCCAAACGCTGGGCGGTCCGCTTTTTGAAACACTGCTTAATACAAAAAGTTAACACTTCCTTGTATCAAAAGTAAATGGTCTATATCTCATCATCATCATCATAGTTTTTTCCTAATTAATTGGGGTTGGTTACACAATCCTGGTCTGCCATTCTACTCTATTTAAGGTCATACCCTCAATGAGGCCATATGTCCTCATAACTTTTTGGACTACTTCCAACCATGTCTTTTTGGGCCTACCCCTTGCCCTTTTCAATCCTTCCACTTGAACTAACTCACACCTCCTAACAGGTGTTGTACTGAGTTGACGCCACACATGGCTAGCCCACCTAAGTCTACTTTCTCTCATCTTATTGCTTATTGGTGCCACACCTAAAATTTCCTGAATGGATTCATTTCGGATTCTATCCCTTCTTGTCTTACCATTCATCCATCATAACATCCTCATATCCACTACATTCATTTTATGGATAGATTGTTCTTTGTCAGCCCAACATTCCATCCCATAAAGCAAAGCTAGTCTCACAGTTGTCCTGTAGAACTTACCCTTTAGTTTCATTGGTATGCGGTGATCACATAAAACTCCAGTTGCACATCTCCACTTCGCCTACCCAGCTCTAATTCTATGTGCACATCTTCCTCAATCTCTATTTTTATGGATTATTGACCCAAGATATCTAAAGTGCGGTCTTTTTTGTACTTCATGGCCGTCAATCTCAACTACTTCTTCATCTCTACTCCTATCACACACGCACGCACGAATGCACGCACACACACACAAATGACGTATAAATATATAACGTTTATGTTTTTTATGACGATTTCTATTTTTAATTTTTTCCCCTTTTTTTGGATATTTCTGAATTGTTTCAAGCTATAAATCAAACTTTTCCATAATCCATCTTCTATATATATATTTCCTTCTCTATTTTCATGGATTATTGACCCAAGATATCTAAAGTCCGGTCTTTTTTGTACTTCTAAAGTGCGGTCTTTTTTGTACTTCATGGCCGTCAATCTCAACTACTTCTTCATCTCTACTCCTATCACACACGCACGCACGAATGCACGCACACACACACATATGATGTATAAATATATAATGTTTATGTTTTTTATGACGATTTCTATTTTTAATTTTTTCCCCTTGTTTTTGGATATTTCTGAATTGTTTCAAGCTATAAATCAAACTTTTCCATAATCCATCTTCTATATATATATTTGCCATATTTTGTAGACTTTTAATGTTGTTTATAACTTTTTTTTTTTGAAGTGTTGTTTATAACTTCTTCTTTTTTAGTGACTTTTCATTATTTTAACAAATTTGTTGTATTTATTTGGCGTTCTTTGTCTCTTTGAATGGGCTTGTACATGACTCGGGCAATTCCACTCACACTCGCCCAAGTTACACTTGGCTAGGGCAGGGACGAGTCCCGAGCCCGAACCAAGTTTTTGCACACTGCCAAAGACATATAGCAGACACTACCACCCATGTCTGGTTTGCCAGGCCAACCATGCCCGAAAAACTGAACCACAACCATGAATCCTATAGCCTGTGATAACATGGAGAGTAGGTGGAAAGCTTTTGTCAATTCAATCCTGACCTTGTAAAATGGCTGAAATTGTTTGTTGGGGGGGGGGGGGCTCACAAAAAACTCTATGAACAGTAACAAAAGGAAATTGTAGCCACAAGCCCACAAAAGGCATATGAAATGATCACACATCTCTTCTTGCAGGATATATTGTTCCTTTGGAACCCAATGGTAACATTGAGTGCAGGCAATGACCTGCAAAGGCATTCATTTTGCACTATGTACACACTTCGAGCAAATTGGACTGTATACTAACAGATTCTTGTACCTCTGGGTCTCCTAGTCTTTAAGGAATACATGTTATATGTGTTACCTGTCCTTGTGTTTTGACGAGTCCCTTGATGGATAGCTAGTGTTAGTATATAGTAAAGGATTCAACAAACGACTAATATATAGGGACAGGCCAATCAGCAGAGTATGTTAGTCATGTTCCTAGTATTTGGAATTTAATTCCAATGGTATGCTTCCATTGGAAGCCATATTTCCTTTTCATAACTTTCACAAATACAATATACAATTGTTAACCTTTCTCGAAAAAAAGGTTCTATTCATGGTTCATGGGCCTAGATCCTACCTTACCATGGTTCCTCCATAAGAACTTCAGTGCCAAGGCTATATGTTAAACAACAATAGGTAAGAAAAGAAAAAAAAAGGAAAAAGGCAAGAACAATAAGCTATTAAAAACGAACATTTCTCAAGTCTGCATACCTGTCTTCCTTTTTGTTTCTGAGAATTATATAATTTCCATTCTTTTCGAATCATCCATCATAAGTAAAATTCTCAGTTCTAGGAACCTAGTAGTTAAGGAGTTTGCCTGCACCCAAACTAACACCATGTTGGAGATTCCTAAGCGATTCCTAATAGGAAATCCTATATCACCCCTTGCTCCTAAACGCACGGTTGTTTTCCCCGTGTTTCCAATATCCAAGGAAAATTCAAACAAGAATAAGCTATCGAAATGAATTATTTGCGCTAATGACAAGTTTGGTTTATGAATTATTTGCGACAATAACAAGTCTGGTTTTGCTTCATGCATAGTACAAATTATTCGCAGAATGAAGGACAAATAAATAAAAAAGGAAAACACGATTAGTTACCTGAGAGGTATCTTATCACCATCATGCTGAAGAACAATCACAACATCCTTACTTGCCCAAACAAGACTTTCATCCTCCATCAAGAGGTCCACATCCATTCCAGCCAAAGATAGCACAAACCTGCCAACAGCGCAATTTAAATCACTGTTATTTGTTAGCACAATAAATAAATGACCTAACATGCTCGCATCATGAACCTGACAAACCCCACAGTTATGATATGGTAAACGATGCTTGGCATATTTTAGATTGTATGCACTCATAAGATAAATACACAACACACAATTCATATGATGGTATGCAACAGAGCAGAGGTCTGGTTATTACCAAGTATTAGATCAAATATGTGAAACAAATTCAGCCACCATTGCCGCATCACAGGCAACTAGAAATGCAACTTTAACAACAAATGATCCCTTTAACTTGCTGCAGTAGGCATGGTATTACCGCCTGCTGGTTTGAGTCAATGTAGTACATTCGAGTTCACCACAGGCCAGTTTTGCAAGTTAAAAGTACAAGTACTTAAACAGCATCTGATATAGCATTGGAAGTTCAATTAATTAGCCCTTAATAGCTTCACCAGTGAACCATCTGGCCTGGCTTGTCTCCAAGGAATTATGAGTAATTGTAATAGGCTTAGAACTGGATCAGGGAAACTGAACTTATGCATGCAGCCATAGTGACTTGCCTCACAAAGAACCGGCTAAAATTCGAAGATCATCAATGCTTAATCTGCAAGGAGTTTTTGTGAATGTCTCTTCTAACCTCTCATTATCATGGTCTAATGAAACATAAACCTTATCATACATGAAGTTTCTCGCAACATTATACAAGAGAACTTACAGAAAAGCTAGGAAGTTTCTTGTGAGAACAAATTTTGCCATTTTACGAAAAGTAATCTAATTGGAGGTAACAAAAGTGAAGCCATTGCAAGCATTTCTGAAAGCAAATCATTAACTATATTTTCAATGGAAACTTGGCAGATACAACAACTAAGGAAAAGTAAACAGCAGTGCAAAATATGTACGAACATAGCTAAACTATAAATTTGTTAAAAGTACACAAGGATATGATGATGCTCACACAGGAATTACTCTAGTCCCATAGGTTCGATACAGATTGCCTTGCTTTTTCCTTGCCATTTTCTTTTCCTTGGCATACGTAGGGCTGTGAGTTGCCCAAAGAGGACGGTGTTTAATTATGGAGTCCTCCTGACCATCATCTGTTTCATCCATCCAATGCTGGAAACAATATGACTCAAAGTTATAGATCGACAATGCAGCAAGGGCATGATTCACTATAAAAGCTAGTAAGTAATAACTGATAGCATAAGCCAAATGACACGTCAAACAGAGGATAAAAAAAAGACTCTTAACTATATGGATCAAAAGTAGCACAGACCTGGCGAAGGAAAAACTTGCTTGAGAGTGTAGGATCAGAAACATCAAGTAAACCAGCAGCCAGTACATCAGCTGAACGTTCCATTTCCTGAAGATGACATCACATTAAGACAGTATTACAACAAACCCAAAATTATTATCAGCCAATCAGCGACAGATGCATAGGTGGAAGAGAATGTGCAGTCAGGTATGCAGAGATCTGGTGTAAGTGAAACAGTGACCTGGCGTGAGAAGGAACATTTCAAGTCACATATTTTGAGGATAAGAAGGGTAGCGACAAATTAGGATTCTTGTCCGGGGACCACTTCCAGACACAGTTAGATAACCATTATGGTAACCATGGTTTAGAAAGGATTTA